AGCAATATTTTTCATGAGTCAGTTGCACAATGCTCAAGCATGGGCCAAAATAAGAGAGCACAGAGCCAAGTCCACCGCCTGCTCCGACACAGAGTGGGTCAAATAAAAAATATATAAAAATTTTATAATAAAAATTATTTTTTAGAAAAATTCTTATTAGTGATATACATTATCAATATTGTGTGTTTTATATACATCCCTAGACAGTTCCTCTTTGCTCGGTGTGGCCAGGCAAGCCAACAGGGCAGTCCCTTTCCAGACTGTTAATCAGGAGACCAGTCAGCTGTCCTTCGGACTCTGTTATGGTATACCCTACACTGTGCTCCATCCAAGCATTGGCAGACTAAGGCCCCTGAGCTCTGTCTGTTTTTATAAAGTTTTATTGGAACACAGCCACCCACCACAGTCATCTCCTGCCAGTGGCTCCTCTGCACTCAAGCATAGAGCTGCCTAACCAGCAAAGCCTTATTTGTTTGATCCCTTGTTATAGAAAACGTTTGGTGGTCTGTAAACAAGATATACTTGCTCTTGTCATTTCTCATGTGAAGACAAGAAAGCTCTCAAACAAAGCAGCTTATTCAAGCGGCAAGTGACAGTTCACTGGATTCAAACACAGAACTGTTCGATTCTCAAGTTCAGATCAAACAGCAGCTGAGATTGGCAAGGCTAAGAAATGAAATCGGCATTAACTTACTTGACTTTCACATCGCTGTGTTTCTGAATTTTCCCTCGAATTTACCAGCTGTTTTTCATGGATCTCGTCACACGGAGTAGTGAGTAAGCCCCGCCTGTCAAGCTAGGCAATCTCAGAAGGTCACTCGGGCTGCTGTGACCACATGCATGCTCAGTCTTCCGGAGGCTTGGAGTCCTTGTGGTGGTGAGGGTGGCGGTGGCAGGTCCTTGAGTGTTTGCAGGCTCTTCTGGTACAGCCTGTCCCCTCCCTGGCCCTGATTCCAGCTCTGACATGGGACCACTGAGGTCAAGTTGATCCTATCCATTGGTACTAAGTGATTTTAGACAAGTACCTCAGTTTCCTGTCCTGCAAGTTGGGGGTCTCAATAGTACCTGCCTGGCAAGCCTACTTTAAGGGTGACATAGGAGAGAATGAATGGAAAGCACTTGGAACAATGCTTCACATTTAGTAAGTGTTTAATACACAGCAAATACCAGGTTTTGGACAGGACTCATCTCTTGGTTTTGGCCTCTTCTCTGGCTCCTAGAACTTCCCTGCTGTGGGTTCTTCCCTCTGTAGGCCTCTCTGCCAGCCCTCTCAGCATCCCCAGATCACCTGCATGCTGAGTTCCAGCAAGGCAGAAGTGCTGTGTCTGCTGTTCCGTCAGCACCATGGCGCCGTATTGCAAGGGCCACCTGGTGAGACTCTCTTGGCCACTCGAAGCTTTGATTTGCAACACACACAGGCCCTATCAGTGACTCTGCGGAGTCCTTGGCCTCCCTGACCTCTGGAGCTCACCTCTCACACCCAGGAACTTAGCCAACTTGCTACTTGGCTACTTTTCCTCTCATACCCTCCTGGATCGGAAGAACACAGACATGCCATTCCTCCTGAACCATTCCGCGGCTTCCTCCTCTGTCTCTTGGTGAAACTCTAGGAGCTAGACAGCCACGCTCCAGTACAGTAAAGAAGCTAAGGGGGTTCAGAGAATCCTTTGTTGAGGATGTCTGGCTGTCAAGCTGTTGTCTTGCTAAAGAGGTCGAGGTAGCTTAGAGACTCCTGCTGATTAATGGTCTCTGTCTTCAGGATAGGACCTGCCCCATCCTTCCCCGGGGGCAAATGGGAATTATTATTATCCCTTAGGAGAAGCACTCTGGCAGATCCACTAGGTGGGGGTATTGCAGAAGGCAACTGAGCACCAGATGTCTGGTTGGCCTAAATGTCCTCAAGGTCCTTCTTTGCTGAGGGCACAGGAGCTGGTACCCTGGCTAATGGAGAGCTAAAGACAACCCTGACTCTGCAGCCTGGGGCCAGGCTTCTGGGTTTTCCTGTTGCCCCAACCTCTCAACTCCCAGACTGGGTGCTCTGTCAAGTAGGTACAGCCTTGAGCACTGGCCGATGCCCCATCCCACAGCCCTGTCACTAGGGTCGTGAGATACACTCACATCACACTCATGCTTCCTGGGCTTGGCCCTGGGGCCAGCAACCAGGAATGAGGTGGGTTGAAGGAACACCCAGGTCCTTGTTCTTACCCGCTCAGTGTCACGTGCTAATGCCTCAGGGATTGTCACCCAATGTGGGGGCATGTGGAACACAGCCTGCCTTAACCTATGTACTGCCACAGTGCACCTGGGAGCTCTTCAGAGGGTCAGGCAGAGCCCCTCAGGGGGCCTCACACAGGTCTCCAATGAAGCCCATGTGATGACCAACTGGAGAAGACAAGCAGTGTACATTAAGGCACTGAGGACGCAGGAAGCCAGCCGCAGTTTTAAATACAAGCCACAAATTAAAATTCAATTATGCAGGTGTCACAGGCTGTATTTTTCAACTTTGGCTACAGCAATATCTCCCACCTCAAGGCTCAAGTCTGAGCGGGCTTCGAGTTCCATCATAGCCAACCAAATGCTGCAGAAGCAGGTCGTTACTTCCAGAGCTGCGTCACCAAAGGTGTCCTAACTTTCCATGCAGTGAGCCAAATGTCCGCAAGCTCAGCAGCTCACCTTGACTCTCTCTGTCGCATACTTCCTGTGGGCCTGAAGTTCGGCCATGGTGGAGCTGCATTCTCAGCTCAGGGTCTCCCATGGAGGCAGCTGGGGAGCTGGCTGAGCTGTGTTCATCTAGGTCCCAGCGGAGGACGAGTCCACTCCCACACACCCTCAGAGCTGTGCAGAGCTCCCGCCCGGGACTTCCTTCACCCTGCAGAAGGCAAATGTGTGGGGGCAGTGTGGCCTGATAGGACTGAACACCAAGCCTTCCTGTCCTCCCAGCTCCAGGGCCTGCAGGGGGAGGTCCAGGTGCCAGCGAGGTTACTTTGCTCTTCCTCGGGCCTTGGCTTTCAAGCGTGTCTTCCAGCCGTGTCTCCACGCCGTCTTTCCCCGTGTGCACTCTCTGGAGTCCCTCCCTGCGTCTCTCATGATGACCCAGTCACATCTGATTAGGGCCCTCCCACCAGACTCACTTCAACTCAGTCACTTCTTTCAATACCCTACCTCCAAAAACAGTCTTGTGCTGCGTTTCCAGGGGCTAGGGGTTTAAACTCTGGGCTTGGGAATGGGATAGGGTTCTGCCCATCACAGCAAGGAGTAGAGGTCTCACTGGCTTCTTTTTAGGGGTACACTGGGAGGTGACGGAACACAGCCGAGATGACGGTGGACAGGGATCCTGGAGTCTCAGAGGACTCCACTGCACAAAGGAGACGGCGTCTAACTGGCTTGCTGGGATTGTCACCCGGCACTCTGGGCCCTGAGACCCAGGCAGCCTCTGCAGGGAGACCTGGAGAGACCCTGCTGCTGCACAGAGAGCCATCGGGGCGCCCGCCTCCCCGGCTGCTCCAGGCTTCTGGCTGACTGTGCGGAAGGACTCCTGGCACTTCCTGAATTCCCGGCCAGCAGAAACCTGGGAGGGAACCCAGCAATGTAAGCCTCTCCACTGGGGTCCTTCCTTCCGCATCGGTGGGGCCAAGAACCGTGGGAACCAGGTGGGAGGCCGTTCCGAGGGCGCGGCTTTGCCAGGCAGGCAGAGTCCTTGCTGGCAACCTGCTGCCCTCCCTCCTGCGCCCTCTTTCCTCACTTAACTTCTTCCTTCCCTCTGACTGCAGGATCACACGCTACGCGTGTAGCTATCTGCTTTCCGTGGCTGCCAGCTCCCCAAATCAAAGCCCAGTTGCTGCCCAGTACAATCTTAACTTTCTTTCTTTCTTTCTTTCTTTCTTTCTTTCTTTCTTTCTTTCTTTCTTTCTTTCTTTCTTTCTGTTTCTTTCTCTCTCTCTCTCTCTCTCTCTCTCTCTCTCTCTCTCTCTCTCTCTTTTTCTTTCTCTCTGTACTGGAAATTGAATTTAGCGCCTTGTGCTTGCTAGGCAGATGCTGCACCACTGAGCTATATCCCCAGACTGAAATTCTGTGATTTGTTCTTTTTTCTTTTCTCTTCCTTTTTGATCTTGTTTTTGAGACAGTTTCACTATGCAGGCTGGCTTTCAGCTCACTTTGTTGCCCAGGTTGGCCTTGAACTCACAATAATCCTCCTGCCTCAGCCTCCAGAGAGCCTGGATTACCGCTGTGCGCTACCATGACCAACTTTCTTTCCATTGTTGATGGCTGACCTAAAGCTGGAGAGAGACCAGGACAGAAAACAGGCACAGGCACAGCTAGAGCAGCACGGTTCACAACAGCTAAACCTCAAAAGCAGCCTATGTGTCCATCGTCAGATGACTGGGTAAAGAAAATGTAGTATTTATGCACAGTGGAGCCATAAGGAAGGATGCATCTGAGCCATTCGTAGAAAAGTGGATGCACCTTAAGACCACAGTGCTAAGTGGATGAACCGGGCACAGGAGCATAGAGACTGCACGGCTTCTCGTATGTGAGAAACCCAAAAGGCGTGCAAGTTAAGAGCAAACTAAAAACGGACACTAGGAAACAGGGAGCTAGACCTTCTCCACGGGAAGGGGACCAAGAGATGGAGAGACAGAGGAGGGAGGAGAGAGGGGATATAAACGGAATTAAGATGCCGTGAACACGCACCGCTCCCCACGCTGAGTGTAATCACTGTGCGCCACAAACACACGACAATAAAAACAAACAAGGAAAACGGGTTTTCAGGAGAGGAGCGAAGAGGGGGAGCCCCGGTAGGTGGGGGTCTTCAGGGAACATCTCATTCTTGAGCCTGGTGCCTGGGGAAAGGGAGCCGAGTGGCTCAGGGGTGAAAGCCGAGCCGTGCTGCACCAGGCCACTCTACTGGGTCTCCACACCCTGTGCCTCGGGTGACCCACAGGACCGGGGGCTTCGGTGCCGCCTGGGTTTTCTAAGGGACGCACATGAACTGGAAGACATTTTATTGTGTGTTTTTTATAGATCACTTCTCTTTTATTTCTCCATTAAAATGCAGTTAGAGCATTATATTGATTTTCTTTTTAAACTATGTGCTGAGATTGGTTGTATTGGGAATGAATTTCATTTCAGGAGCATTGAGGGGTTTTCTGAGCTTGGGCTCATGAGGGCCTGGCTCCAGGGGGTCTCCTGGCCAAAGGACCTGGGGTTAGACCAGGGGAGCACAGGAGGACGAGAGCTGGCTGGTGATACGTGTCTGCACGGCGCAAGCTGTGTCCTCGGCCAGTTCTGTGTTACTCTCCTCCCTTCTGGGAGGCTCTCAGGATGACTTGCAAGTGACATCAGGTTGCTACATTATTCCAAGGTGGAGGAGGATGCCTGGCAGATTCCAGTGTGTCTGGTGGTGCCTGTGTGAAGCCTGACCTGTCCCTGCAGGGCAGCTGAGCGCGGGGTGGAGCCCAGAGACCTCAGGAACATTCATGAGGGTCTGTCAGAGCCCCAGACCTCCAGGCCCACAGGCGTATGGTGTTCAGAAGCAGCTGGCAGGTTCCACACTGAGCCCAGGTCCTTTGGGCTGGTCACAGCCTGACTCTCACGTCTGCAACCTCGAGGAAATTCTGTCTGCAGTGTCCGAGTCACAGGAAGTTCAGTGCCGCTCTAGGAAGGACTGAAATGAGGTTCTAGCACTGAGGACCCTGGGATCAGACAGCCTCGCTGTCCTTAACCCTTGTGGGGGACATTGGACTTGTCCCAAGCCTACATTTTGGCCCCAGGAAGCCCGAGACCTTGCGCTGACAGGTGTCAGTGCCACTGACCGGCAGCAGACATTTCCAGGCTGTGGGCTGGGCATCAGGACTCACCTCCTCATTTAACGCTGGTTGACAGTAGTACATGGAGGTCAGTAGTACACGGATGGAGTAGTACACGCTGGAGGTCAGTAGTACACGGATGTCGGGGACTGCCCACATCGTTGTGAGGGGTGAACAAAAGGAGAGATGGTGGCAGCAAAGCACGGGTTGACTCAGGGCCTCTAAGTGCAGGGATCCCGTGGGATTCTTGGAGCTGGTCCTATACAGGAGAACAGAGCTCAGAGAGGTTAAGTGACCTGCCTAGGATCACGCAGTAGATGACAGTTGGTGTCATAATTTGAGTCCCAGTTGTTTAACTCTGTAGGAAAATCTTGGGCTGGGTAAAGGACAGGGCAGAAACCAGTCTCTGAATCACCCAGGCTGAGTGCAAATCTCTTACCTTGGTCTCCTGAGCGCTGGGATTACAGGCCTGCACCCCTGCAGAGATTATTATTTATATTAGGCCGCAGGACCCAGACTTGGTCTCCTCAAAGGTGAATGCTCTGCAATTCAATCCCAGGAAACTATACACGTGTGCTGCTTATAATAACACACCGGGGTCATTTCTATACCCGCTTTGATTATTACATAATTTCTGTGTGCATGCACATGAATGGGAGCGATTATGTTTGGAATATATATTTTCAGGGTATTCATGGGCCTCAAATTTCACTGGAGAGGAAATGTCACAGTCTCGACAGCACGGGGTATTATATTTTCCTTTTTAAAGTTGTGAGATAAAAAAAGAATAAAAACATGGAAACAAAGCTTTTGTAAATGAGGAGGAGAGAAGGGGTTGAAGGGAAGGTAGAGGAATGGGAAAAAAGAATCAAGTTATATCGTGTACAGGAATGTGATCATTAAGTACATCTAAAACGTGCCAATAAATACTGATCAGGAAACAATGTGAGATAGGGTCTCACTATGTTGCTACACAGCCCAGCTGCACTCAAGTTTGTGACTGTCCTGCCTCAGCCTTCCAGAGGGCCAGGATTCCTGGAGGGCACCCCAAGCCCAGGCCTCAGCCCGTCACAGGGCCCACACCCCACTCTCCCCAGCCTGGGCCTCGGGCTCTCCGGACGTTTTCACGGCTGTCCTAGAAACCAGCTCGAGCCGGAAGCAGGCAGGCTGAGCCGCCTCCCGCCGCAATCAGCCCCACAATGCCGCTGATGATGCTGGTGGCTCCGGCCGCAATCAGCTCGCTATACTTAGCTGCTCACGCCCAGGGCCTGCTCCGCAGCCCGGCCCCACCCGGGACCCGCGGTGACAGTGACGGCCCAGGCAGTCTGCAGGCTCTGAGAGTGGGTTCTTCTCCCTCGAAAAGAAAAATCTGTTTAAGCCTAATTATAGTCTGTCATTTCCCGCAATCTCAGAATGATCCGAAGTCCTGGCAAGATGACAATAATACGAGAGAGCCGAGAATCAATTCAAATCGGCTGGAAAGAATCCAGGCACACGCAGGCGAGGGCGGTGACGGGCCCTTCTTCACACAACCGCGCGACGAGCATCCGCTGGCGGTGCACACTTAGCCGCTCGATGGTCGGGACGGCCAGGCCGGCCTCACTCCGAAGTTCACCCGGAAAATGTGGGCGCAGCTCCCAAGATAAACGGATGCCCGCGATCAAATGCCCTCGATTTAACAGGACGGTGCTTCTCGGACCCCGCGGGGCGCCCTGAGCACACGGACAGTGTCGGAGACTGCGCTGAGCGTGTCACCAAAGCCGAGCTGGGCTTCTGCAGACTCCCTTTAAATCAAGTTTCCGTCAGCTTTCCGGGCGTCGTTCAGGCGCAGCCCACGCGGGGCGCCCTCTCGTGGCCGCCCGGGGAAGGGCGCTGTCTCGGCCTGGCACCCCTCGGCGGGGACCAGCCCGGAGTCAGGTTCTGGGCTCACCGCGGAGCCCGCGCGTCCGCGACCCGCGGCACAGAACCCGTGAAATGGACACGTCAGCCCTGCCTGTCTCTTCTTGCTTGAATTCCTCGAATAATTCATGGAAACAGTTACCTTACATGCAAACCACATCGAACAGGCTCCACTATTTCCCACTCGTTACAAGCGAGAACTTCTTGAGCATCAAAGAAACTTTTCAGCCCATTTTATTTTCACAGCAAGATTCTCTTCTTGGCATGAATTCAGTTTTCTGGGACAGACGCCCATGCCGGGGGCTTGCATTCAGTTTGGTGCATGGCTCTGACTATGTTTAGAGAGTGGTGAGTGAGGTCCCCCCTGAGCCTGCCCCCTGAATGGACCCTGGTTACGTGCACAATGTGGCCACCATCCACTCGGCTCCTCGTTTCTTTATCACTGTAGAGAAATGCTGATGTTTTCTGATTTCAAAACTCGAGAGTCTACTCAGTTGTGAGAACAAGTTAGGAATCATGTGGCAATCACCAGATCACTCAAGCCAGCCTAGACAGCAGGTGGAATTCATAGGTGCAGGTAAATGAGAACTCCAGTTAGGCTTCAGGTCAGGCGTGATCCAGCAGACGGGAGCTATCACTCAGGACTCCCCTCCTTCCATGGCATCTTTTTGCCTTCTGCACGCTATTCTGGCGTTTCCCACGGCCTTGCTGAAGCTCGTTTGGAGACATTTCCTGCATATTCTACAGCTTCCCACTTCTTTGCCCGAGTGACTCAGCACCCTGGAAGTGTCAGATAGTTGCTGCTCTCAGACTGGCCTCCATGCCACCGAGGAATAAGAGCCAGGAAGGAATAGGCCAGCCCACTCGCTGCGGGTGGGGCCAGCTCTGAGGGCTCCACAGCTTCTCAGCGCCCTGCGCCCCTCACACCTCCTCCTGCGATTCCATCTCCTCCCCCCCCCCCCCCCGCACGCAGCCCCATACGGGGGTCTCCATGTGGGGTGACTCAGGCTGAGAACAAAGCTCGCTGCTTCCTGGAAGGGGCCTGTGACCAGCAGCGGGCTCACAGGTCTGGGACGTCCTGAGGTTGTGCGGCTGGGGACGCGGGGCGTAGACAGGAGCGGCTTAGACCTCCAGGCCTCCCTGGCTGCAAGTGTCCAGGACGCTCCGGTGGGGTTGGGAGAGCGGGGACATCCGCTGTGTTCACAGGAAAATTAGGGGCGGCAGCCAAAGAAGCTGGTTGCCAGGTCCTACCCCAAGGGGCTTCGCGTCGTTCTGACCCCACGGACTCCTACTTCAGCGACTAGAGTCCGGGGAACTTGACCCACGGGTCTGAGGCGAGCTGGAAGCGGAGCCCATGAACGCACCACGCAATGACCTCTGTCCACATCAAACGAGGGCAAAATTAATTTTAATTTTTTACTCAATAGATTGTAGATATCATTTCAATGTATAATCAGTACACAGTTAGCAATGTGATATTTACACCTTTTTAACAGAACAGTGCTGTCCCCGAGAGCCGCCGTGTGTTCGCTCTTGGCACGCTCACTCCGCGCGGCACACACAGCTGCGGTGCCGGGTGGCCGCTCAGATCTGCGGCCGAACCCGCCGGGTGTTAGCGCTGGGACTGACCTCCGGGTCTTCTTCCACATCTGAGCATGCGGTCGGTGCTCCTTTTTGTGTTTTTAAAAATCCATTTTATTCAAACATAAAAAAACTGAAGAAGAAGAAAAAAACTACAACAAACTTAAATGCATCAATCGGGGGTAACTACGGCGCACGGTGGGAAGGTGAGACTGTTGCTTTGCGGGCTTAATTTCTCCCTAATCACTGCTGTAGGGAATCTCACGAATTCTGAAGTGCTGTTTGCAGTTTGAAGTAGCTGCTCACTTAACCGTCAATTTCTTTTTCAGTCCAGGTTGTTTGGAGGTGTGTTATGCAGTGCTGGCATGTGGGTCTGGAATGTCCTCAGAAGAGCCATCCCTGGAGCCGCTGAGGATGGTGGGAGGTTTAGGACGGGGCCTGGAGGGGGATTTGGGCCACTGGGGACTCGCCCTGGAAGGGTGTGTCCAGTCCGGTCTCTTGGCAGCCCCTCATTTGCTTCTTGCCCAGGAGGTGGTCAGTTTTGCTGGTCACAGGCTTCTCCCATGATGCCTCACCACAGATGCAAGAGACTGAAGCCCCCAAAGCAGTGAGCTCGAGTAACCTTCCCTCTGTAAGCTGATTGTCCCAGGAATTTTGTTACAGTAACAGAAAGCTGATTAATACAGAAAATATTTCAAATATTTGGGAATTTCCTGATACTGATTTCACTGTGGTCAGGGAATGTACTTGGTACAACTTGAATCTTTTTGTAGTTTGTTTGTTGTTATTGTTCTGTGTGTAGATGCTTTACCATCTCAGGTAAAATGTAGAAAGCTTAATTCCATTTTGATGTTTATCCTTCCCATTTAAGATACATAATTGTCTTACATATTGGGTCATAGGCTGATTACCACAGAAGTGGTGTTACGGTTTTTGTTCCAATCATCAAATATCACTTGAGAAATTAATGAGCTGCAGTCTGTAGCTTCTACATGTAGACCATCTATGATCTATTTTATTTACTTCTATTTTTACTCACTTCAGTATTCTTTCTTTTCTGAGTTTCAGAGCTTTCTTTTGATTTAATTTTCTTTCTGCCTTGAGAACTTTTTTTAACCATTCTTTAAGTGTAGATTTGCCAGCTACAAATTCTTTCCTCCACAAAGGCCTTAATTTCCCCTCATCCCTTAGGTGTATTATTTCCACCATAAATGCGATTAATGGTGGACGGGATTTCTATCAGTACTTGCAGGAGCTGCTCTTCTCCTGGCCTCTGTGGCTTTAGATGAGAAACCTACCATCACCACCAGCAGAGTTATCACTTCCCTCTCAGTGGATCCGACATGTTTTATTTGCCTTTGATTTTCAGAAGTCCAATTATGATGTCTTCGGCATGCATTTCTTTGAGTGTATCCTATCTGGGTCTCACTCAGCTTCTTAAATCAGTAATTTTATGTCTCTTGCTAAATTTGGCGAATTTTCAACCCTTATTTCTTCAGACCCCTCTCAGTTACACTGTCATCCTGCTTTCCTTCTGGACCTTGTGGTGACACATCCTCTTTTGTTATTGTCCTATAGGCTCTGGTCATTTTTAAAATGATTTAGTCTATTTTTTCCTGCTGCTTGAAATGGGTAAATTCGGTCCACCAATTCATTGATTGTTCTCTGTCATCTCCACTCTCAACCTTTTTAATTTTGGTTACCATATTTTTTAGTTCTATAATTCAATTCTATAACTTATAGCGGGCTCTTTCTTTTATAACTTACTTCTTTGTTGGAACGTTCCATGTTTTATCTGTTTCAAGTTTATTTCTGTAGCAATCTTCTTGGCTCTGGGTATGACTTGTGAGTTTTGGTTGTCTCTTGGACATTTTGAAGATTATGTCAGAGACTCTGGATCCTGCTAGGTCTTCTTGTTTTGCGGGCAATCCTCCTGGTGAGGTAGAACTAGTCGATGTGTGTGCCCAAGTCCTTGTGGGGCCCACTGATAACCTTCCAGCAAAAGTGAGGCACCAGCTTGTACCATTTGGGTGCCTCTAAATGGATATGACCTCAGCTTCCCACTGGGCTCACGGACTCTAGCGAGGAAAAGAGTGAAGTACCAAAGACTCTGCCAGCCCTGCTTCCTTACACCAGGTGGGGGTGGGCGCTCTCCTCCCCAAGGCAGGTGACACAGACAGCGTGCTGGAAGCCTAGTTGGCCTAGCTGCACCGCAGACTGCTGTGCTGACTTGATTTCCTGGATGGTTATGGAGGTTCAGCTTGGCTTTGGACCCTGCTGCCACGACCCTGGCTTTGAAGATTGGTGCACCGTCTGCCTTGGCTGGAAGGGGATGAAGATCTGCTGGTTTTTCCTTAGGTTGCCCCGGCCTGGCAGGAGTCTCCGGAAGACTAGCTCCACACTCAGCCTTGCTAACCCACCCAGCAGGGGTCCCCTCCTTGCTGAACTGCAGGTGGATGGTTTTCACTGGTGTCCGGCTGAAGCAGAGCTAGTTCTGCCAAAAGTGTTTCAGTGTTAGCCCATCCCCTTCCCAGCTAGGGCTACAAACAGCAGACTTCGCTTGGAAGTATTTTGTTTTGTTTTATTCTGGTTTGTTGGGGATTTCTGGTTTGGAGGCTTCTGGTCACCTTGTCTGCACTATATGAAAGGCAATTAAGCACTAACGAACTCACGCCTCAGATTTGGGTCTCTAGAGTGTCCATGTTCCTCTCTCCACTTGTAGACTCTTCTTACCCACTGGCATCCTAAACATTTTTGAGACTTATTTTTAAGGCCCAGAGTACGGTCTATTTTAGTCCAAGTTGTTCGTGCAACTGAGAAGAACATGGATTTGGTAGTGAGATGATTGATGTAGAATGATTATTCCACTTTGCCCTGGATTCTTCAGGTTTTAGCACTGAAGAGCTCACGTCTCAGGAAATCTCTACTACCATGCAAACTGGGACAGCTGGTCCCCTATTTCTATAAATGTCAATTAGGTCAAATTGGTTGTATGTGTGTTCAAGTCTATTACATCCCTGCTGATTTTTCTCTCTACTTATGCTGCCAGTTATGGAGTGAAGAGTATGGAGATTTCAAGGTTCAGTTTTGTATTTGTCTAGTTCTACTCGCAGCATTATCTTTCTGTTTTATGAATTTTAATGCTCTTTTATTAGAAGAATTATTATAGCTCTTTGATTAACTGACCCCTTCATCATCCTAAAATATCCTCCTTTATTTTTGGTAACGCTCTCTACTCTATTTTGTGTAATATGTATATTGTCATTCCAGCTTTTTTTGCATTACTGTTTGCATGGTATATATTTCCATCCTTTACTTTTTTTTCTA